GTTCTCATGACTGGAGGATGGCTGCCGTCCCCTGTGCAGGAGGCACGATGGGTTCGCATTCCCACGTAGTCCTGAAGGTCCAATGGGGAAGGAATGTTACACGAAGCAATTGAAGAGGAAATGGCACTGTCAATAGAACTCACCTGGACAGGAGGTGACTGCTGCCTAGCAGGCGAATCGACTACTACAGGTAACGACGCTGTTCCTTGCGTTTTTTTTCTAGCATTAGCCTTAGCAATGCGACGCGATCGACGAGCAATAATAAAGAAGGCAGGAACAGAATAAAACTTCTGTTACTCTGTGAAAGGCAGTAGATGGTAAAACGCGGCACAATAACGACAACGCAATAAAAAGTGGAAGAAATTCTGTGATGGAACACTGAAATTGAGAAACAACTGTGGCGACGATAGCAAAGCTATGGCAACTGGCGGGTGTCAGCTGAGTTTCGTAGTCATTATGGAATGCCATGGCTGACCCATGGTAGGTGACGGGTCCTCGGCGACATTCTGCATACTGTAGGTGTCAACCTGTGTACAACATCTCTACCTAGGGTCATCAGCTGCTGAAACGACATATTAGCACAAGGACACACGCATCCGTTCTCACCAGGAGGATGAGAATAATGCATGAAAAGGAACAACACATAGAGGAATAAAAACTGGTATAGAAAGAAGAGGAAAAATAGGAAAAAGGGAGGAAAGAAGAGATATGAATAAATGACCACATTAAGCTATTGAAGGATGAAAACTAAGCCAAGTAGGAAAGAAACGCATTACCCAAAGAGGAATTGAATTGAACTTGCCTCGAGTGCCTCCTTTTGACTGCTCACAGGCTGAGTCCTGGTTGGGAGCATTGGTGACACGGAACGTGTTCTGGGCTTTCTGTGATGGATATTGTCTGTCGGATCTTCAGCTGTTGGCACGTGGAGTTCCAGCGGAATAGGTCGATTGATGGAGCGATCTGTATATGTGTTCTTACCTGTTTTGACCTGCCAAGACCTAAGTACTCCATCTTGCGACTTGTTAAGCCTGGTGATAATGACTAGCGGCCAGGGTGTTCTGGACACATTGTCCTGCGCAATAAGCACTGCTCCTCCAAAAGAATAGGCCATGAACGCGATCCTTGCGTGCCTTTTGCTAAGCTTTGGGTGCGTTCTGACAACGCCTGGAGGTAGTCCTTCTTCCACGACGACAAAAATGATCCATTGTTCTAAGAGGACACTCATTTTGAGCTTTCAGAAACTGTTCAGTCTCGAATCGCTCGGAACCTAGTATTGGAAACCTGAAAAGGATGGACCCAATGGTGATAGGTAATGCCTTTGATAGTAATAGGGATTGATAGGGTCTATAGGCCGTAAGGTGGTTAATTGCCGGAACGGTGACTGTCGTTAAAGACCTAGTATTTAACGCGGCTTCTGTCTCCATAAGGAGAGTTTCGAGGCTGCGAATGCTGAGCGTATTGCGATGAATGGTCTTTCTCAAGCCTCGCTTCACTATACCGATGAGCCGTTCATAAAAACCACCTTTCCATGGGGGAAAAGGGTGTTATAAACTTCCAACGGAGCACGTTTTACGCAGTAAATTGCTGAACTGTAGAGTCGTGTTCGAATCGCGATAGGTCGTTGGTAAGAATATCTTTGCCCAATTTGAAGGTAGGAGCATTGTCTTTGATAACATGGTCAAGGGCTCCTCTCCTGGCCATGATCCTACGAAAAGCAAACAGGAACTCCGACGAAGAGTTGTCATAGACCAACTCTAAACGCAAGACTCTGGAGGTCATGCATGTGAACAGACATACCCAAGCTTTGCGAACCTCCAATAGTAGCTTGTAGCGGTCCAAAATAGTCCAAACCGATACGATGAAGGGATTGACTGCGTGTTACTCTTTCGAACGGTAGATTTGGTGGGTTTGAATAATTGTAGAGGCAAGCTTGCTGCCGTTGACAGGGTACGCATTGCCTAACTATTGACCGAACAGGAGTGCGAATGCGTGGTATGAAATGTCTTCGGCGTGATACGCTAACATGATGCTCAACTCCCGCGTGTGAAAGGGCTAGATGGGACTGCCCGACGATCTTCTCCGTGAGCGTCCGTGAGCGCATGATCGGGCGCAAGTAGGATGGGATTCTTTGCCGTAGACGCCATGCTTTAACTACTCGGGTGATACCGATAAGATCTTTATAGGTCTTCTTAGTCTTGATTGGATTAAGACGCAGTTGAGTAGCACTCTCTCGCTGATGTTCTCAAAAGAGTAGAAACTCAGCCATTTCAACGTCCTGAGTCTCAATTTTGGGCACAGATGTAACTCCTACAAGAAATAAAGCTGAATTCAAGCGAGCTTGATTCTGCAAGGAAACTCGATCGTAAATGCGCTTCTTAAGGATCTTGAGCAGAAAACCTTTACAATGTAGTAACTCATCAAAATTATTAATCCTTCAAAGTGGTAACACTGAACGATGATCGTTGATTGTAGAAAGTGAAGAAACTTCAACTCGGCCTCGGTTTCCGCAGTTGAGCCAGGAAAGATGTTGAAGTTCATCGTTGGGTGAGGCCATGTCATCGGACACGACCTACATAAGTGGGTCCCAGAAGTGGCCAGAAATCTCTCGTAAAGAGAGTCTTCTGGTTGCACATTCTGCTGGATTGGACTCCGATGATACATAATGAAAATGTCCTTTGAAGTGAAATCGTTAATCGCACAACGAATCCGCTTGACTCGATTGTCGACGAACGCCTTCGCAGGACGATCTTTATGTTTATGGAGCCAATAGAGTACAACGAATCCGCTTGACTCGATTGTCGACGAACGCCTTCGCAGGACGATCTTTATGTTTATGGAGCCAATAGAGTACCATATGCGAGTCTGAAAAGAAACAAACAGTTTTGATATTGATTGTCAACTCCTTGAGGAGGAATTGGGCCAGTGATACGGCTGTCTCGCATGCCATCAATGCCATCACTCTAAAGATCAGTTTTTCGACAGATGCAGTATAGATAAACGATTGTCAGCCATAACAGATAATAAATGATAAGCAGAGGTAACATTAGTGGTCGCTTAAGCGGGATCGAAAGAAGAACTGAAAAAACCATCAGAAGAGAGAGCATGACCATGGTATGGCAGAAATTCGTTGAATAAGAGAGGATAACGGCTCAGTGATCTCCTCTTTGACACCTAGAATTTTTAATGGCTCAAGGCTGCAGCTACTTCTCCCTTGGAAGATTCTACCGCTCTACCTGGTCTCTTTTACCGTCCACATAGGAATCGAACGATAATCAAAGACTAAGAGGACTATGTCTGCACTATCGCCGCCACATTACCACACTGTTTATACTTATTCATCGAGCATCATCCGACGAATGTGAGCACTACAAATCTTTCCCCCAAATTGTGAAGTGATGTCTATGACGCCTAACTCGCCAATACGATAAGCGAGGATTACTATTAGGTTGGCAAATAAGTCCTGTGACAAAAAATCTGAAGCGTTGAAATTTGTATCAACGGTGTGAACACGGTAGCATGGGAGATAAACTTGTGGGCGTTCCCCGGGCAATCAACACATGAGTAAATAAGGGCACACTTGTGGGCTTTCGCAGCATTACGGTCAATGAATGGACAACGCCCGCCTCGTACCATCACCTTCTACTGAGCATGCCAAGGAAAAAACCCGAGTGTAGCTGCTTAAAATATCAGCAATCTATTCGATGCTAGCACTGCTCACCGATCGATGGTCAACAATCGGTTGGATCGCTTCACTGCAGGAGATACTAGCCTCGGAGTAATGCAACCACCGTTCCTTAATTTAATGGAGGTTGAAGGAATCCATCCACTAAGAGTTGCTCAACGCAGACTAGATGGACACAGCTATCAGCTACAATCCCCTTCATTTGGCCAACGGGGTTAGAGAAAGGAGATCAAACATTCAGGCATTCAGGCGAGAAAGGCATTCAATTACTTCTTTGAGCCACAGCTTCCTCACTCTTGAAGAGATGGCATCAGATTGGGTTGATGGATAAAAGGAGGTAGTTGACTTCTTCGGTAAATATTTTTCCGAAGATTGATTAATATGAGAAAATTTAAAAATGATTTAAAAAGGTCTCCATTTTGTCGCAAGACTTATTTGCCAACCTGATACAGAATAACAGTTCATGCTGACAAACGCTTTTAAACAAATAAACATCTTTATTTTGAATTGCATCTGCTCACATTAATTATATGCTCTCGTTACTGGTAATGGTTGAATAGCTTGTTATTCTTTACTAGCATGTCGGTATTTGGCCTCGTATTAAAAGCTAGTAGTAATTAAATACCCTAAAATTCCATAGATGAGAGCGGTTCGACTTACCGGTGAAAAATGAATTAGAATGAAATTGAAATTGAATGCAGTCACCCTCTAACTTGATGGATGGATAAATAAACATCGGAGAAGAAGTTAAGGAGAGGCTCCGCCCTTCAACTCTAAACCCCGCCCACTTAATAAACAATTCATATAGAAAAATATCCGTTAAAATCGCTATTTTTCTATATGAATTGTTCATTAAGTGGGCGGGGTTTAGAGTTGAGGGGCGGAGTTTCTTCTTAACTTCTTCTCCGATGTTTGTTTATCCATCCATCAAGTTAGAGGGCGACTGCATGTAATTTCAATTTCATTCTAATTCATTTTTCACCGGGAAGTCGAACCGCTCTTATCTATGGAATTTTAGGTTAAATCGTCTCAATTCTAGCGTTATCCCAACCTCTTATCATTGATGCTAATCTGCACTAATGTTTTCATGCTTTTATTAATCCACTATATTCTTAGCGCAAACATTCAACATTTCATACTATTACTCGTTTGATCCAGGAATCGAATCCCGGACCGACACCCGCGCAGTAAATCCAGAATTCCATTCTTTCAGAGTCGGTAAATAAGTGTCAGGTTGGTTTAGGGAGATAAACGGACTAGCCTGAACATCGGCTGACTACCGCAAGCCATTGTTTAGGCCACATACACATTCAAACGATGCTACGATACTCATTATAAGTCTAATGTGGATTCTAGAAACGAGAATGAACAGCCTGAGAAAGCCCCATTTCTTTGTAATTGAAAGCAACGGGCCATTAATCGTCAAAGGAAAAACATTGAATACCATCTTGAACAATTGGAATATGGAAAAAATAAACGAAATATACGAAAAAATTCCCGGTAAGTAAGTTCGTGATTTTTTTTTGCTTACTAAGGTTCCCACTGAATGCATATCCAGAGGTAGACATTTTCAGAGGTGGTATAGGGCCTTCGCTCGTGCTTCAGACAGTGCTCTCTCATCGGCTCCAAATTTCGCTTGTAGTCGATAGGAAAAATTTTTTCTTAATTGGTACTATTCCCTTTCTTCTTTTTTCGCATTGTACCATTGCTGGTACTTGACTGGCATCTCCATACCTACTATCACCTGCTTACTACCATTAATGGAATGGTGCGAAAGGTGCAGCGGGCTACATGAAACGTGAATGTGGGTCTGACTAATTTGGATAATCATCTAAAAGAAAAGAGAAACAAGGAGACCTACTTGAAAAGGCGTCTGATGGTAGAGGCGAAACTAATTCTAGGACCATCCAGACCTCAAGAATTTGGCAAAGTAACATTAGCCAAGCTAGGTGGCCTAGTTTTGAAGCTGCCCCCACGACAGCATCTCCTGACCTAGTAACTGCAAACATGAGAGCTGCGAGAAATTGAACTACTGCTATTCCCATTCCAATAATCTCAAGGCCCACTTAATCCATTTGAACTACTGCTATTCCCCATTTCAATAATCTCAAGGCCCACTTAATCCGATCTCTTCACTTATCACTTTCCCTCTCGAGTAGCAGTGTTGTCTGATGTCGATTGCCAGAACAGCTCCTCTCTACATGTAGGAGGTGTGTCAGTGACTCTGATTTGGTACCATTTATTAATGACTCATACCTATCACCTGCACACTCTTCTCTTTGAATCGGATCGAGACCCTTTTTGTCCATTCCTTGATGATTCACAGCCATTTGTTTCGTCTTTGAAATTTCCTTATTTAATCGAATCTTTCACACTTGAGAAAATCGATTTTCTCAAAGTTTCACACCCTAGTTTTCGATATTGATCGTTTTATCGATTCGATGCTACTAGCTTAATTTACTAACTGTTGTAGGCTTACAGCTATCACGTGTGGTCCACCATAGTCAATTAAAGACCACCTTTTAGGCGCCAAATTTTAGGATTTGATCTGATGTTACCATGTTTTGACTAGGATATTTGACCAGGTCAACTACTATATAAACCTGCATTTTCACTAGCTATTATTGGTGTCCAATTCGTCTTCTTCGGTGAATTGCTAACATTTGACTTCACATCACTAACTATTATTCAGATGACGGTGGAATGGACTAATCGGACAGTGTTAAAATCTGCGTCCATCAGCATACTGCTTATATTATTTTCTGTAGCTGCTTCGATTGACCTCCCTGCTGATGATAGTTCACCTTCTGCACAAGAACTGCGCCTTCCAAAGAACATAGAACCGTGTAAGTATGAAGTTACTTCCTCTCAAATACCCTGAGAACCTCTTTGTTCAGGGCATTGAGCTACGTGCCTCTACTTACTTCAGGAATTCGAAACCTCAAACCAAATTTGAACAATGTGTCATTGCACCAAGTTACCTTCTTCTTCCTTCGAGTACTAATCCTGGGCCTTCATAGGATCCGCTGCCCAAACGAGTCCACTTCCTTCTATCTACGGCATTTGCTGCCACCGAGTTGCCTCATAATACCCAGTTCTCACTCACTGGCACGAGGAGATATGGGGCCTACTTCTACCTACTCTTGAGTTTCAGAAGTGTGGTGCGTATCCTTAGCAAAACGCAAAGCACAGGGATCAGGCTAGCCAGCCCCGCGAGCCCAGGTTAGGGAGGTTGACAAGTTATTCACGTCTCTGTGACTGCACAGTTCGATTCGACTCAAGGTTTTCAAATTTTTTTGGGGAGCCATTACAATTGGTTTCGTCCAAGTAAACAGCAAACATACAATCCATATCTAGAAGTTTCTCTGAAACTATCATTTTTACATGATTAAGATAGTGTTCTTCTAATAAAAGCGTTGTAATAAAAACTAAGAAGGGTAAAAGGGCATGAGATTGACCGGCCGCATTCGTGTAAATAAAATTTTACTATTTTCAGTATTGTACGATCTTAGCATCAAAACTTATCTGCCTGGTTACGTGAATTTCCCACCCGAAAAGAATCTCACATTCGATGGAGAAGTAGGAATCTCCTTAAGGGTGGTTGAACCAACCAAAAGTATTGTACTCAACGCAAAGAATATCACCGTGATACCAGATGAATGCGAACTGTTTTCGGTGAGTTTTTAACCTTTTTTTCTCAAATTTAGCTCTGATTCAATTTTTGCGACCCGTGACGTTGAAAATAGGTTTGGCTATCCTTATTTCGAGTGTTTTTTTTGAGTTAAAAAATTTTGTTCCCTTAATGTCTTCCAGACGGAACGTCCGGTCTCTGTTGAGCCTTTTGAGGATCAAAATATCGGGCTTCGAATAAAGAATCCGTTACTAGCAATATTGATCAAATATGTGGAGAAAAGTAAAGAAAAGCAATGTAATGTTGCAGGGCGGCAAAAAACTTGAAATAGAAAGTGTCAAAGTACATGAAAGACTAGAAAAATTGGAGTTTTCACTGAAAAATCGGCTAGAGAAGGATCAAAAGGTCCTGTTGAAGGTTAGAAATTTCCCAAAACGTTCTCACTTTACTATTTACTATCTTCTATTTCAAGAATGTTGTTTATTACGTAACATTAAGATAATTTATTCGGGTATCATTAGCAACACCCTTTTCGGACTTTATCAAGCCACCTATACAGATGCGGATGGAACCGTCAAGTGAGTTCGATTTGATGTGAAAAATTACGCCCGGTTTGAGAAGGTACACCCTTACTGCTTCCCCTAGAGGAACTTGACGAAAGCTGCAAAAATGCTGATTGTTCAAAGAAACTGAAGATAATACCAATTGATTAATGTCGATTACATCTATGTGTATTGAAGGGTAATCAACCGAGTACGGGAGCAACTTCTACGTTTGCTGGTTCCTTAACAATCAAAAAGTTCTTGGTCAATTACGATCCTAGGCCATGAATTTCAGGGCATGAGGATCTATTGGGTCTTGGCGTCTATTCCATCGTGAAAGCACTGTCAAGCTGATTTTGAAGAAATGCTTCTTAAGCAGAAGCTGTGTCTAATCCGCTCCGAATTCAGGATTGCTGCAGCAACTCAGCATTGCCCGAGTGATGCTCGTCGTTTGGTACCATGCTTAGATGAACCAAGTTTCAAAGCCAGTTGGACTGTGACTGTCATACATCCAAAAGGGACAAAAGCTGTGTCGAACGGCATCGAAACAAATGGAAAAGGGTCAGTAAATGTTCGAAGTTAACTGAAAATGCAATGCATCGTTTCTTGTCGCCTTGTAAACAGAAAGAAAACCAGTAAGTTTGCAGTGGAAGTTCCCCATACGTACGATACGGTACAGCTCCAGTCTATTTGCCCGCTCTGTTTGATTAATATTTATCTGCTACAAACTTTTGTCTTAATGTTTTCCAACTGTTGTTTTTTCGCCGCGTGGGCGATACTAAAATCCCATAAGATTGGCGAGTTGCGGGCAATTATTGGCCTTGGACGGTATGGTTTGATCCCCACCCGAGGCCTAATTTTTGCCTCAATTTTTCTCGTCAACATCCTGGTGAGTCCATGTACTAAGTATATGTTTACTAGTCAGGGAGAAGAAAAAACAAAAGGAAGATTAAATAGATGAAAGAGGGGAGGTGCTAATATACCATTGAGCCCCTTCTCGTCAATTTGTTTTTATTTAACATTTTGTTTACTTGTTTGTTATAATTACAGCAATGTGATCGCGACAATCATAACGACTCTTTATTCACAGTTTGCTTATTTTTATTATATTCCTTCCTTTTATCCAAAGCTGCGTTACAGAGAAGTCAGCGGTGACTGGATCATATCGAAATTTGAGACAACACCACGGATGTCTTCCTATTTGTTGGCTGTAGTTGTTTCAGAATTTGATTACATCGAAGGGTTTACCAAATCTGGTGTTCGGGTGAGTTTTTCTTTTCACTGCCTTCAGTACCTTGGATGAACTGGTTATATTTAGTTCCGAATATGGTCACGACCAGAGGCGAAAAATATGACGGCATATGCAAGGGATGCCGGTATAAGATGTTTGGAGTTCTACGAAAACTTCTTCGATATCAAATTCCCTCTTAAAAAACAAGGTCTGAATTGTTCATCTTGGTCACAAGACAGTCTACAAGTAGAGTAACTGAGCTTCTATGAACATATTTTCCAAGCTTCCAATTTTAGATATGGTTGCACTTCCTGATTTCTCTTTTGGCGCCATGGAAAATTGGGGTCTTATCACTTACAGGTGATTTTTACTTACAAACAGTTTAGCCAGAACTACTAGTCGCTATGTTAGAGCGAATGAGATAGACAGTGCATGGCTGGTAGCTTGAAGAATTGAAAACGATAAGAAAATTGGTCTGCAGCAAATCACTGGGTGATGGAAGCTTCTTCAAGAAGTGGCTTCATAAAGTCTTACTGTGGTGAAGTGTTGAAAGCCAGGGTGTTAAATCAGCCGGTAGTGCTGCCTTTCCTAAAACTGCACAAATGCTGTCAATAAGCGATTAGAGCACGGAGAATGAAGACACACTTTTTCTTAATTCAGTTATCCATGGCTTCCAATGAGGAACTGAGTATTCACGAGCATAGTCCATGGGTTCAAATCCAAGTCGACTCCCGCTTAGGCAAATCGAGATTCCCATCCCTCCATAGTCGGATAATTGGTGCCAGAGTCGTTTGGGAGGATAAAAACACTGACCTGCGCATGGGCTGCCCACCGCAAGTCATTATATGAGCCACGTGCTCGCTTCAAACTTCGTATGATTCTGAACGGAAGCCGATTGCGGAGGCGCATTCCAAAAAGGGGGGGGGGGCATAAGCTTGATCCTTTACCGTTCAACACACCTGTGGGAAGGATTGTTCTAATCAAGTCAACTTCCAGAGAGAACCGACTGTTGTATGATGATAGATACTACACACCGATCAACAAGCAACTGGTTGCCCTCGTCGTGGCTCATGAGCTTGCCCATCAGGTTCGACTCCTTTGTTTTGTATTTGTAATCTATGAGTGATCAGTACTGGAAGCAGACGGCCAACAGAAGGTGTCGGAACCCGACAGCGGTCACTCCTTACCTTTTCGTCCATCGCTCATAAGTAGAGAAGACTTTTCGAACAAGTAAACCAGACTGGGGTAGAAATACTGCTAAGTAAATTTCGAATATAATGTTTCAAATTCATCATCCTTTCTCCAAAAGCCGGAGGCAAGAAGCTAGTGGTTATAATTCTTTTTCACCGTGACCCATAAGATGGACACAGTCTTACCCTTGGTAACAGGTTGGGCTATCACTATTGCCGTCATCAATTATGTACATTGTTTCAGTGGTTTGGCGATTTGGTCACGCTGAAATGGTGGGACGATCTATGGCTAAACGAAGGCTTCGCAAGATTTGTTGAATACATTGGAACAGATGAAATTAACAATAAAACCATCAGGATGGTAAGATTTCATAACGAGCCATAAATCAATTTCAACGATGTGACGAAGAGTGACAATAGATCATTGGTCTCTTTTCAGGACGACTTTTTCCTACCGAATGCACTTGTAAAAGCTTTGGATGCTGATGCGGTATCATCAACCCATCCGCTCTCGTTTAGAGTTGATAAAGCTGCAGAAGTCGTTGAAGCCTTTGACAGGATCACATATGAAAAAGGAGCGTCCGTTTTGAAAATGCTACAGGCTGTAATTGGACAGAAGAACTACAAGCAGGCTGTTACGGTGGGATCCCTCGCTTTATTCCCTTATCTTCGTATTTTTGTATAATGTGGTATATGCCTATGAGGGGCATGGTCGAGTCGTGATTCCAATCTAAGGTTAGAAGTCTTCGGGCCTTCGGGACAAAGCTTTCACAAAACCAGTAGACGAGATGGATCTCGCATAGCCTTTTTTTACTATGACACCAATCCGACCGTTCCTGCATGAACTCCCACGTTGAGGACCAAATTTTTAGCTGAAAAGAGTACTTTTAGCAATACCTGAAGAAGTTCTCATACAGCAACGCCCAAGCTTCTGATCTCTGGGACGTTTTTGACGAAGTTGTCGAGGACGTCAAAGGTCCAGACGGTAATTCTATGAAAACGACCGAATTCGCATCTCAGTGGACTACTCAGGTTAGTTTTAGATAGCTAATTCAGTAGTTCTGCAGACAAGATTTAGGAGTCCTGGTAAATTCGGCACGAAACCCAAGGTCAAGCATTTGTGGGTTCATTTTGAATATATTACAAGAATTCACAATAGCGAAAAATGGAGGAAACGGGGCCAGCACTTCGAGATCGAACGGCGACATTAAACTCACTGGAAGGTTCGAAAGCTCTCAGCACCGCCTTTTGCCTTTGGGGTCGCAAATGCAACTTGTTCTTCCGTCTGGAACAGTCATCGTCCCGATCCACGAGTTCGAAGATCACAAAGTAGCACAAGGCGCTTTTACAGCAAGAGTATCAAGGGTCTATCCAGTAAATGGGGAGAAGTCGTTATTCGAGGTAGCAACAAGTCTGATGTGAAAATCAACAACATGCATAGGAACTTTGCAAGCACCACTTACAAAGTGGACCAGCTACACTTTTCATTGGGACTTTTAAGTTTTTGCTCTAACTTTTTCAGTTGGGATTTCCTCTGGTCACTGTGAAGACTTTCAACGCAACTTCTTTGCAAATAACACAAACTCGATATAAGACAAACAAAGACGCGCTGGAGCCGGAGAAGTATCGTCATCCAAAATACGGGTCAGCAATAATTTTCTCTCCTCATTTTTCCCGAATTGGAAACATTTTACAGATTCAAGTGGGATGTTCCTCTGTGGTATCAGGAAGGCGATAACAAAGATATAAAGTTCGCATGGTTGACAAGAGGTAAGAAGTATTTCTCCTTCTTTCTGGTAACGTCTCATATCCTTTTCTGGGCCACATTATAGCGACCTATTTCTTTGAGGGATGAAGTCAGGGTAGGCATTAAGTCCGGGCGTGGGATCTTATTCGCGAACAATGTGTCGCCTCCTCAACCCTCGCCGTAAGTTTTTGTGCGCAGTTCAGGAGTAATCAAAGTCCATAGTTGAGAGTAAGGCATTTGCCGCGGCAAACCACACCTGCGTGCATGTTTGCGACGATGGGAATTCGGGTACAAAGTCTTCCATAGCGATTTGAAGGAGCTATAAAATCACTCAGTGTTGAGAGCGTTCAATTTCAATGTAGTGCCTTTCTTGTGGTGTAAGGTATAACTCACATTCCAGAAAAACCGCTCTATTTACACGTGAGCAACCCTGACACTTCCATTGTGGTGAATGCTGATCGCCATGGATTTTATCGACAAAACTATGATGCGAAGGGTTGGCGAAAGATCATCAAACAGCTCAAGAAAAATCATAAGGTACGTAGTGATCAGGAGAACGTTTAGGGACATCGCTGCAATAGAACCCGGGAAAAATTTTAGCTTGAATACTGTCCAGGCTAGTTTCTCTGGTAGTTCGAGTGTTAGACCGATTTCGCAATTCTGTCCTATCAAATTGGTGAAATATGATAACCCAGCGGAGCCGTTGAAATTGGGAAAAATTTCGATGGTGTTCTTGGCGTTAAGGCCTGGATTTCACTGAATTCCGCCAAGCATGCGGAAAAGTAGAGAAGGATGGTCTGCACTGAATCGCTACCCCTGTCGCTTTCCTCCCCCTCATCTCCTCTCATCTCACTTCCTCCGACGCACTTTTAACATCACCCGGTCTGGGCAAAGATTAATGCCCGTAATCACCGACTTCCGATTGCCTTGTCGAACTGTATTCCTTGCTCAACCTTGATCGACAAGGTACAATGTCGACAGCAGCTTTCTGACTGTACCCAGTCCATTCACCCTCCAGGTTTCTTTTCCCTCTATTATGGAATTATTTCCTCTTATAATTCCAAAAAAACCTCAATAGAAATTTCATTCAGGCATACAGTGCAAGGACGAGAAATGCGATTATAGGTGATGCTTTTGCAGCGGCTCTGATTGACGAACTCGAGTACGCAACTGTATTTGAACTGCTTGAGTACGCCAAGAATGAAGAGGTTTTTCTCAAATCTCAATTGATGTTATCAATGAGATTTCACTCAAGTATTTATCGGCCTTTCCAGGAATATTTGCCATGGACAGAGGCGATATCTGGTTTTTATGCCATCTTAGACTTCTTCGGGAATGAGCCGGAGTCGACATCGGCTAAAGTGAGCTCATTAGGTTGATATAAATCATGGGAAACCTTTGATCAGAATTAAAGTTTTAGGCTTTCATGATGAATATATTGAGGCCGATGTATGAGAAAACCAGTATGAAATATATCGCCGACAACTACAAAAACGACTCGCTATTCTTTGAAGTGTGCGTTTGAATATAATCAACTCTACTACTACAGCTATCAACTAGCAGCTTTTTATTGCCATACAGCGGTGGGATTACATACTGTAACTAGAGAACTGAGCCATCTCTTACATTTTTCTCGATTGAGCCTTTTTTAATTGAAGTGTAGAAAACGAGTAAGTGGAGTAAAGTGAAGTCTGTGCAGCTTCGAAGTTCGGGATTACCGTATGAAAAATCCTTTACCAAATGCAACCTCAAGCAAGCATTTCTTTAGATCAGACTGGTGTCTTGTTTCAGGAATAATGAAAACGGTAGCAATTCTATCATCTGCTGTCCCGTTGATCATCGATTTGCCCCAGCGGGCACCTGAATGACGTCCCTGTTCGTCCCTTTCGCAATTCATAGTAGTCCAATGGGTCGGGGAGACGGGCAGTCTTGTGTAACCGATTCACCGCACGCGGCAGTCGCGGACCCTTTGCCTCGTATTTGCAGCTCTGACATTCTTCATGGAGCTCAATCGATATGCGATAATTATTTTGTGCGTAATTTTTCTGTTAGTTCTTTTGTTCCTGTATTTCTTACTTACTGCACTCTGCTACACTCTTTTCCGCGACGCGACAATTTCGATCCAGCTGCACCACACCCGGTGGATCGCCCGTCTTCAGTAGGCGCGGTTTACAGTTTCCTTTCCCTCGAAGCTTTCACGAAGAAGTCTAACCATAGCGTTGCACCCAGTCATGTGTGAGTGGTTTAGGGGAATTGAGGTCCTTACTAGGTATATAGATTTTTTGGGATCTGAGTTTATACCGAATACCGGATCTGAGCAGATTCTTATTTTGTTCGGGTGTGGTGCATTAGGCACGAAATGGTCGCGTAGCGGTGAGAGGGGCGTCGCGCGCGAAGGAATGTAGCAGGATGCAGCAGTAGGTAAGAAACACAAGAATTAAAGTACTAATAGTGGAATTATGCATAAAATAATGGTCGCATATCGATTGAGCTGTATGAAGAACGCTAGAACCGTAATAACGGCGAATGAGTGGTCCGCGACAGCGTCGAATCGATCACCCAAAGTCGTTCCTAACGTCCGTCTCCCATTTTGTTCGCTTTATATTGCAATTCTTCAATTTAGCAATAAATTTAAATAATTGTCAGTCACCGCGGGCAACTGGTTCCACNACGGAAAGCCTATGTATCTATTTTACAACCATCATCTAAACATCAATATTATTTTTTTCTAGGAACCTCCAAACATCTATTATCGATGCCTATTGCTTCGTTGGAGCTAGGGAATGCATCAAAAATTACGCAGATTTATTTGATAAAGAAGTTATGAAGAAATGTAAAGACGGTGACAAAGCAAGCAAATGTGTCAGGTATGAACCCTTTTAATGACTCGCTCGACTGGAAAACGATTCAATAGGAAGTAAGAAGGAGCGAGAGAGGAGGAGGCAAAATTAGGATGGTTACGAATGAAGAAATGTTGGACTTATTTTCTGCTTTATCTCGTTCACCTCTCACTGTTTGTTACACCAGAACCCTTTGAGACGAAAACATTTCGGCGTGTGAATTAATCACTGAGTAATTCAGAATCGCCGCCCCTCTTCGAGCAAAAGCATACTGCTATGGCGTGGAAGAAGGCGGAGAAGTTGCTTTCGATAAGGTTATTTTGGTATCTCTATACAGTATACTTACACATAGATGAGATCCAAAGGTAATAGTTGGGTATCGACGAAGTCCCGGAAGAGCCTTGAGCTTGGTGTACACATGGAGGCCGAGGCCGACCCTTAGGTGGGATCCCTGGTCAGATAGGTAACTCGAGGAGGCGTGAAAGAAATTTTGCAAAGCATTTGGGTGGTTTTTTTTTCAAATTTCTGACTCCGATTTGATTTTTTTGCCGTCGTGGAACCATTCATTAAGATTGTATTACAATTGTTCTTTTTCCATCCTTATGGCAGATAATAAAGAGGGTCATCCATCGGACTATGGCTAATCGGACGCTTGCGGTAGTTTTGGACCAACCTCCGATATTCTTCTTGAGCCCTTTAAGGAACAGCTCCATTAGTGATCAACAGAATAGGGAATATTCTGAGCAAATCCATAGCCCAAACTCTGCTTTTTAACTTTATTCATAGATTTGATGCAGAGAGCATGATTGACTCATGGTGTAGTTGTACTTACTCAAAAATCGAAATAGTAGCCTCCTAAAATGATTAAAAACTATAATCTTCAGGTAATGAAATTGTGGTATGCAGAAAATGTCCAAGTGGAGAAAGACGTGCTACTCAAAGGGTTAGGATGTCACAGAGATATTACAGCATTGAAGAGGTGAGTACGTCTTGCTATGTACTCACTTGCCATCTAGGTTCCCTAGCGCGGAATAGTCTTCGAAATTAAGTCTTTGAATTAGTCCTTTTGTTGAAGGCCCAGTGATGAACCATAGTATGATCTGCCGATCATTAAAAAAGTGCTCAGCTCATCTTACCCATGTGTTCAATTGTGGTCTTCTGCTGAGTATAGGAGCTAAGTTGATGTTATGTTGCCATTCAACCAGCTCTAAGCCACGATTACTTCAGATAAGATAGGTAATACTCTTTCGGGAATCCGTGAAGGTACAGCACATGGAGTAGTAGCATGATTTTTGTGACGCCCTGTATTATTTAGAAAGTTTCAGGCTACTTCTCCTGGCACTGGATCGAAATTTCTCATTTGTCCGACTTCAAGATGTGGCTGCTGTTTACTATGCTGTATCAACGAATCCCATTGGCAAGGAATTCATGTTCAACTTCCTCCTTGAGAGATGGGATGAAATTCTCGAAAGGTCATCCAGCTAATCTTCGTTATTTCACGAAAGAAAGATTTGCGAGTCTACTGTTTGCTGAGAAAGTGCTCTAGGCTTGTCCTATAGCTTCTGATAGATTTCACAATCTGAAAGTATCCGAAAGTCTGAAAAACTGTTCTTCCCCCGAATCCCGTCGTAGTGCTGTAGCGATTTCTCTCATGAAGATGACAGAGTCACTTGGTACTTTTCAGCTTGACAGCGGACCACCGAACTGTTGAACGAGTGATCAAAGCGTGCACTGCAGGTATTCGATTGGAGCAGCAGATAGATCAGGTCAAACTTCATATCAATAACTTGTTTGTCTTTACTTTCGAAGGGACAACAAATGGGCCTCTCAAACGAGTCATCGGAAGGCGAGGCAACTATCCAACAATACGACAACCTTCAAAGTCATGGAGACCGGCGAGACGGCTAACTATGAATCGTAGAGCCTGTGGGTGAATCGGAACTACCGCTGAGGACACCAACAGTATTAGAATGAGGGAGACGTGGAACCGTGACAATTTTCGTGACTGCACAATTATCATCTCAGCTCCGAAGAACAAATCTGTACTTGCCAGCTCAAAAACTGAGGCTTTGTTGAAGTCGGTATGGGCATTGTCTCTTAATGCTCGAATTTGTTTTCTGTACCAGGCAAGTCAAGCTTCTCGGAGCTCGGTGATAGTGAGATTTATGCGAAGGGACTGAGCTCATGGTTTGAGTTCAAGGAACATTACAATTATTATAGTTTTTCGTCACAGCATTGTGAGGATCCTTTTAAACATCGAAGTACAAGTATAGCGCCCTTCTGGAGAATGAGGGCATTACGTAGATGGTGTAATTGGCAAGGGCTTCACCCAGAAAGCAGATTTTTAATGACTTCCTATTCCGAACTTGCCGTACTTTTCAGCAGAGCTAATTAGCGCTAATAAAATTATCTAGTCAAATTCCACGATTGTTGTGCAGAAGGGAGGGCTTGTCTTATTTCCTTCCTTCTTCCCATCCCAGCCCAGCCCGCAAAACAAAGACGGCAAATTCAGTGCCCTTGTGTGACACCGCGCTAGGATGTATTCACCCAAACAACTCTCCTTTCTTTTTCCTTTTTCTTTCTTCTTTTCGTTTCTTCATTATAATAAATATGAAGAGGTAGCCTCATGAGTGAATAGATTGATTGCTTGAGAGAGGCAATATCTTCAAGCTCATATTTTCTAGCCAATGCCATTGTTTTTTTCCTTTTTAGCTGAGAAGCCTTCAGAGAAATGGTGCACATGCTCGAGAATATGGAGCATTCGACGAACAAATCGAACGAGCGGGTCATAAAATCAACTGGATCAAGAAACATATGCGAAAATTAGCGGATTTCTTTGAAAAATCGACTTAATGATTTTTTCTAACATTCATTTGTTCTTAGAAGCCGGTGAATAGTCATCTAATCTAAATTTTCCTTGATAGCTCCTCAACTCGCTCATTTTTTTT